AGCGCTCATTCATTATTATGAGTACTTTTATTGTGGAGGATTTTTCAATCTGTATATTCAATAAAAAGTGAACCTAACCTAACTTAAGGTCGGTAAAACAGATCCTCTTAAATCAACATTTCCCGTCATAAGCCGCTACCGGGTTACACATATCGCTTTATCTATAAACCGAAACGGGGCTCCTGTTTCGCATTAAAGAGCCCGGCTGTATGCGCGACCTCGATAGTTTCGAGTCGGTGTAAAAGCTCGTAAAGAATCCCGCTTCCGACACACGAGAGGCGCATAATATCGGGAATATATCCACCGTATATCAGCGCGACTTCGCCAGGAGGAAACCACGAAGGCGTATCTACCCGCGTGTTTGTACTACTAGACTACCTTACCATATATACTCCCGACCTGGAAAGGGCCATCCAGGATCACGTGAGCTCGCGTACACCTTACCTAGCCGAGGTTGTTGCGCATACATATATATACATACTCATGTGTGTACAAAATCGCGCAAACCTCCTCGTATCGACATCGCGCGGAATATTTCAACGCGATCGCCTACTTTCGCGAGGAGCACGTTTCGCTGCACGCGAGATTTATCGTCCTGACGGCTCGTGCCGACGAGCTGATTCATTCCTCGTCTGCGAGAGCGCGAGTCTTAAAAAATTGTGAAACGAACAGATGTGTTATTAATTGATTTATTATTTTTTTTCATTTTAATAGAATTTTGATTTATTTTAAAAATAATTTATTTTATATCATTATATGATTTACTATATAAATTTTATATATTTTAATAAGTGTTTTATTTTATTTAAATTTTACACATTATAGATTTTAATAATATTTTATTTTTATTTTACATACATTTTTTAATGTTTTTTATTTTATAATATTTTTTATTTACATAAATATAAAATTTTTACATAATAAGGAGAGTTTTGAAATCAAATATTCGATGTGGATGTGAAACGTTTCGATGTGAATAACGCTTCCTGTCGTGTTTGAAGAATCTCTAGCTACAACCTCAAGATCAGACTTCCGTGAAAAAAAGGGGTCGCTTTCTCTCTCTCTCTCTCTCTCTTCTCTTTTGTGATCCACTCGTTTGAGCGTGTTTTTTTCTGCTCATCCGCGATCAATCGGCTTAAAGATGACGGACAGAAAGCTCAGCTGACAGTATACCAAGTTGCTCAATCGAAGATATATTTAAAAGGCTGCCAACTCTCTTCTATTCTGCATCATTTTCCACTTGTATATAGTTTTAAAACATTATATTATTATAGTTTCTCCAAAATACATTCTAAATTATAATTGAATTTTATATATAGATTGAAAACATTTATTGAATTCGAACAAATATTTATTTCAATGCTGCCTGATAAATCATTTACTTGAACTACTACTTGAATTAAATTAATAAATCATTTATTTGAAACAAAAAATATTTATCTGTTTAAAAAAGATTTTCTTATATCAAATAATATTTTTCACGTCAAATCATATTATTATAGTTATAATAATAATAATAAAAAATAATAATATAAAATAATATAAAAATAATAATATTGATTGATGTAAAAATATTTTATTTGATATAAGAAAATTATTTTCGAAACAGATAAATATTTTTTGTTTTAAATAAATGACTTATTAATTTAATAATTTTTTAGAGTATAATTGCGTGATTTTTGAAGGAAGAGAGAAAGGAAGGTTTTCAACACACTCGACGTTAGTCAAGTTTGAAACATTATATTATTATAGTATCTCCAAAATATATTCTAAATTATCATTGAATTTTATATATACATTGAAAACATTTATTGAATTCGAACAAGTATTTATTTCAATGCTGCCTGATAAATCATTTACTTGAACTACTACTTGAATTAAATTAATAAATCATTTATTTGAAACAAAAAATATTTATCTGTTTTAAAAGGATTTTCTTATATCAAATAAATATTTTTCACGTCAAATCAATATTATTATAGTTATAATTTAATTTAATAAAAATAATAATATAAAATAATATAAAATAATAATATTGATGGATGCGAAAAAGATTTATTTGATATAAGAAAATCCTTTTCAAAATAGATAAATAATGTGTTTCAAATAAATGATTTATTAAATTAATAATTCTTTTAGTGTATAATTGCGTAATTTTAGAGTGAGAGAAAGAGAGGGTTTTCAATACACTTGACGTTAATACCCAGCAACTCGATTGCGCTTGCGATTGCGTTTATCCTTTTATTTGCGCGAGAAATATCTTTGTAAAGTTCGGCCTTCTCAGCCTTCACCAGATCGAGAAGCAATTTTGCGACAAGTCGTTCCTCGAGATCCTCGGCGATAAAATAGTTCTTCCTTCGAGGCTTTTAAAGGATCCGGCTCTGATCTGGTAGTTCGTACCTTATCGAAGGAAGAAGGGACCTTTGTCTTTCGGCGAACGGGAACTTGTCGATAAAACGTGTTTCCGATGCAGCGGCAGTTTAATTGCGTTTAATTGCAACTCGAGCGCAACAAATAATCCGCGATCAGACTCGTCGTCCCTTCCTCGACCCTCTCGTCACTCTCATTTACGAGCGACGAAACTAAAGCTCGCTCCGCGCGCTTGCGCGCGAAAGCTCCGCCGAAGTTTCCGCTGAAGCGTCCGAAAAATCGAGCGCGCGCGCTCGATTAAAATTGAATTGAACGTAAACTGGTAAACGTAAACTGGTAAATGTCATTAAATCTTCACAACCGGGGAGTTGCAGCGCGAAACTCGCCGCTAATGCAATTACGCGCTCTCTCAGCTTTAAGCAATTTAAAATTCTCAAATAATAAATTTACGTGATGGGGGATTTTTAAGCATCGCGACGGATTTGATTTTTTGCGCTGATTTTGGAAAATTCTATCATCCCCTACTTCGAGTCTTTTTGCCCGGGTCCAGTTTCCGAGAGATATCGAAATGCATTTTAACGAGGCTTCTCCTTTATGATATATACATTGCGAAACTCTCCGTCGTTTACCAGTTTACGGAGCTTTACGTCTCGAATTTTGTTTACGCCACATCAAAGAGCGTTCGCCAACTGCATACGCAACTCGCTAAAATTGCGTTTAAGCTCTCGCGCACCGAGTTCTAGAATGCATTATCCGGTATATTATAATTCTGTCGCGCTCTCGAGTCGGTCGTTTATCAGAATGCAATTACCGTTTTCCTTTGACGGTGGCGTTCCGCAAAAAGAGAAAGAAATGAACAACAAAGTAAGCCCTTCGAGACGCGACGACATTCTTCTGTTGATTTACACCAACCTCAGGCTTGTAAATCAACTTTGCGAATTTAGAATTTAGAAATATAACGAATGCGCATATTAAACAAGGTGTATATTCTCGGGAAAACCTTGAAAACCTGGTATTCTCAGGAAATTTTACTCTTGAAAAATCAAAGAATTCTCGTGGAATTTGATTGCAATTCAGAGAATTTTTTTTTTAATTACACTTTTGATAATTTCACTCTTATTTAGCGTTTAAGAAACATGTGTCTAAATATCTTTACAATATTTAAGTTTTTATTAAATTTTTACTTGATTTTTTTATTGACGATCTATTTTTAGTATCAAGATCTTAAGTTGTACAGAACATTTTTTAATAGGTGATATTTAAATAAATTAGTATTTAATAAAAACGAATAAACAATAATTCAATAATTTAATAATCATAAATAAATCGTATTCCTTAAGACGTATAATAAATTATTTTCTGTTTTATATTTTTTCATACATTTTTAGATATAGTGATATGATATATCGCACTTTGTTATTATCCAAATTAATTTTAAAATTAATAAATTAATATTAAATGCTAGAAAAACTGCATTTTTGATAACTTTACAGTTGTATGAATAGAAAGCATCAGAAAGCGCATACAATAAAGTATAACTTTTAAAAAGCTACAACTTTCCTTTTAAAATTTTTCCAAAATTTTAAACAAAATTTAACAAAATATGTTAAACAAAAATACCCGAAGGATCAGGGAACTTTTTATCTAGATTTAAGATTGAGCAGACATCCTGGCCAAGCGAAATGCCTCATAAAATATATCCGCAGCTTCCGCAAGCTCCACTAAAGCGCGATATCGCGGAGAGCAAACGAATAAGCTCGCGCGCGTCCACCCTGAGCTTTCTCGGGCGTTGCTCTACGAAACGAGCTTCCTCTCACGAACTTGTCGATAACAGTTTGGCAACCCTCCGGGCCGCCCTTTCCACCTTCACGCCGCGACTACCTCCGGGAATTCAATTATCTCGCCGTTCATACCCGGCTACAGGCCAGGCGAAGATAATGCGAGATGAACGAGAGTCCGAGCTCTGGAGAGGCCATCTTGGACGATGTCCGAGTCCGGGAATTCCCCGACTTCTCGCACGTCTCGGACGAAAGGATTAAGCCGCGATCCTACGGCGCGCCATAGTCAACGTGCCAACGATCTCCGCAAAGTGGTTGGCCACTTACCCCCGAATTCTAGCGCCCAGCGCTGTAAAAAAATATGTAATGTTACATTAAAAAATATGTAAAATTACATATGTAAAATTACATATGTAAAATTACATATGTATAAAATTACATATGTCAAATTACATATGTCAAATTACATATGTAAAATTACATATGTAAAATTACATATGTAAAATTACATATGTAAAATTACATATGTTACATTAAAAATATGTAAAATTACATATGTTACATTAAAAAATATGTAAAATTACATATGTAAATAATAAATGTAAAAGTACACGATAAATAATAAAAACTATACATTTTCATCATTTATCGTGTAATTTTACACTTATTATTTATGTAATTTTACATACTTTTATGTAATATTTATTACATATTTATTACATATTTTTACAGTGCGAGCGACCCACAAACTTATTCTTACGCCGACGTTTTCTCTTATCGGACGTGTATTTAAAAAATCTACGAACGCGTCGTTCTTTTTGCTCTAATTTTTTTCTTTTTCTTTGATTGCAGCTCTCAAGACTCTGAATCATTTGAACGAGGAAGGCGAGGCGCTTGCCCTTCAAGATGACCTCACAACGCACCCCACCCTGGCCTTGATGCGGCGCATCCTTGCAGATGCACAGGTGAGTGCCATCAATGTCTGCGAGTTCTCCGTAGAATTTAGATTTCCACGATACAAGTGCTTTGCAGTTTGTTCAGATTTTTTTTTAAATTATGAAGATATAGGATTAGCATAATTCAGTGAAGACTATCTTGAGATGACAGAACTCGATATCGTGAAAATACGCGATTGCAAATCGCGTCTCGAATTCAATGGCGAGCTTGCGATTCAAGTCACAGCCTCTGTACCAAGAGGTTAATTATCGAGCAGATAAGGAGCTATCTACACATACACTGATATCAGAATCTATTGTCTATATCAGGAACTAGTGGCGCAGTATATCATCAAACCCGCTGATCGCGTTCTCTATTTTACGAGAAAGCTGCATGTATTCCATACACGAGTTTCTCGTCGCAAATATCTTTTAAAGCAAAAATTACACTAGGATAATTCGAATTTGTTAAGATCGATAATTAATTCACCCGGAAAAAATAGCCACCATAGCTAAATTTTGCAACCTGAAATTCAATTATCCTTTTAGTTAGCTAATAATATTTTTTAGCTATAGAATTCTCCGTTAAATTATAGCTAAAAATATTACTTATCATACCTAAATTTTAAATATGGTAAGTAATATTTAAAAAAATATTAGCTATCATAGCTAAAATAACGGCATGATAACTAAATGTCATATGTAATATAGGGACAGCTAAAATTTAGCTAGTAGTTAATTTTTGTTTTTCGTATTTAACTTAAAAAATAAATATATAAAAATAAATAAAACAAAATTTATTCGGAACGAAAACCACCCGATTACGTTTCTCCATTATCGGGGGATAAAGTTACCCTTTCGTAGGTCAATTTTCAAGAAAGTGAGGAACCGAAAGGGGTTAATTATCAGAGGAACGAGGGGTCGCTCCATTGATAGTGCGAGTTCCTTTGTCCATCGCAAACCATTGTTATCTTTATTTATGCAAGACTACTGCTCGGTATTTATGAGAGAGAAATATATTAGATGACAGCTCGGAGAGAGAGAGAGAGAAAAAGAGAGTTGCACGTGCAAAGTGGAAAGGAAAAAAGGGTTGATGGTAATTGCGACGGACTCCTGGTCCGTCGTGCAAATAAGAGTAACAGAATAAAGGTTCCAGTAGAAAAAGTGTCCTTTGCGTGATGGCGTTTAATTTCTTTGCCGCGGTTGTTTCGTCCGATTCTTGAGATCAATACAGCCACAGTATGTATTCATCTGATTTTTCTGAAAAATCTCTCTTATATCTGGATATAAAAATTCTATTTAAAATAATAAATCCAATAGGATTATATGAGATATTAAAACAGAACAAAATTATTTTTTAAATTCCTCTACAATTATTTTGAACATTTCGATCCTTCTTGGATTATCCTCAACACATTAATTAATAAAAAAAATCCGTGTATAAATCCTACTGATAAGTCTTCACAGCGAGCAAAGACGAGATTAAAAACAAGAGACGAGTGTAAAAATAATTTGTCATATCTAATATCTGTATCTGGCTTCTACTAGTTTCTTTTATACCTGAATTTATATTTAAAAAATGCGAGAGCGACGCGAATACGACGGCTCAATGATAAAATGATAACACGATTAAATGAATAGAGATTAAATGAATTAAATGAATAAAGAAAATTCCTCTCTTTCTCTCGGCAACTTTCATTTACTTAATAATTACATAATTGCGATTACCCACCGGCGATAACAGGGTTCCTGGCTCGTATTATTAATTAAACGAACCCCAACCCCCGGAAGCGATTCGTGCTTTTCCGGATGATCGTAACCAGAGGGGAGATTAAGACGAAAGTGAGTAGCTGTTTAAAATTGAAAGGTCAAAGTCGCGCGTCAAAAACATGCAAATTAATCAGCCGAAGTTGCCTACTGTATATTCATCATGCTCGAGTAGGCTTAAAGGAGGATTCAAAATCTACCTAACAACTTCGCCGACGGGGATTGAAAAGTTATCGTTTTGTTATCGACCTCCCCTTCATATCTCAAACAGATTCATGAAACGCGTAAATGATACATTTAATGCATGAAAGAACTTTTGCTTAAAACAAAATTTGCAAATGTTACATCTCCTTAAACAGAGATTCATCTCCTATCGAAAGGGCCGCTGTATTTTATTTACATTGTAATATCGGTTTTTAGTACACGAAAGTTAATGTAACATTCAAACAATTGTTCGCAATTGTTTGGAGAGCACTAATTGGCATTGATTTATAATTTAATTAAGGTACACAATGTAGCGGAATTTTATATTTTGCCTTAATTAAGTTTATGAATATATATATATATATATATATATATATATATATATATATATATAATCTATTACGATACGAATATAAAATTCCGTCTGTCTCAATAATTGCGGTATCTCTCTGTTTTATAATCGTTCATTGAATGTATGCAAAAAAATCCGGTCGCTCTCATATGAGACGCGGCGAATATATATATATATATATATATATATATATATATATATCGGGCCGATATATTGATTACCCTGTATTCCCGCGTAATAAAAGGCGAACGGAGAGTGTGACGTATACGCCGAACTTTCATTTTGACGTGTCACTGCATGCGTAACGCGCGTCGAGAGCACTCACTCTCTGTTAAAAGAGCCGTCAAACTTGTTAATGTTTGATATAATAATTTTCGCAAGCGGCACGGATAGATTAATGCTGGCGCTCTCGACTAATTTCGCGGCGAATTACCGACAATGCGACGGTGAATTGCAAAGCGTTTTACGCGGCATAATGCGAGGGATGCTATTACGCGTCGTCCAACTACAGAATTGAATGCAAAATATTATATATACATTATATATACATAATAATAATATATATATATGTATGTACATATTTGGTGCTTCAATCATTATCGCCGAAAATTTTTGCCACATTTTATACATGTGGATCTTAAACGCAGTTGAGCTTCAGTTCTGTTTTATCGACAAAATGTGAGGTTATATTCAACTATAAATCTATTTATTGGCTTATTTTTTTACTGAAATTAGAGCACTTCCATATTTGTTAATATAATATTAATACTTTAATTTGTACAGGAAGAAGATTTATCAAATCTGTATAGTCTCATATATTTAGATGCAGAATTATAAATTGATGAAGAATTCATAATTCTATACCTATAGAAATATATGAGACTATACAGATTGATAAATATTTTTCCTGTACAAATTAAAGTATTAATAGTAACAAGTAGAAGTGCTCTAATTTCATGTAAAAAATAATCTGTATAGCCAATAAATATAGATTCATGGTTGAATCTAACCTCACATTTTGTCGATAAAACAGAACTGATTAGGATCCCCTTAATGCCCGGAAATATTTTGCGCGCGCAAATTTAAAGGTTGCGCGAAATTTTCGCGACATTCCGAATAATGACATATTTTAATCGAGAAGAGGAAAAAGGGAGAGGGAGAGCGCGATTCGGATTATAGCTAAATCACACACGACACGTCGCGCATAAACACGTTATCCGACAAATAGCATTCGGACGTGGCGGACGCGGCTATTTCAGGATTAATGCAATCAAACTGATGGCCTCGGCAGGTTTGCTGACGGTGTACACGAGCGCTCGATCGTCACGGTGAGATTAAAATTGGGCCGGTGCGTGCTCGCGTTCACAATTAAACATTGCAAAAATCGCGGAAGTAATTTGCATTCGATTGCCAATGCGATGTAACGGGAGGACGCTGTTATATCACGGATTAGCGGAGAGAGCTTTCTTTTTCAATCTGGCTGAGAGTACCGCGTATCAATTATATTGATTACAGAGTCTAGATTATATTTATTTTATATTCTATGTATACATATATATATATATATATATATAATATATAAGAAATATGTAAATAAAAAAAAATATATATATATACAGGGTGTCCGGTAACTAACGGACCAACGATCACAAATGGATTCTTTGGTCAATTTGGGAACGATTTTTCCTCAGCGAAAATGTCGAAAAAGGTCATTTTTTACAACTTTTCAATATTTGTCATTATGTATCTTTATAACTAAGCCTCAAATTAAAATTTTATTATAATAAACTCTACCTGAAATTAACTGAAGAATGTAATTATGTTAGACTTTTAACTCCAAAACGTTTAATTTTCAAAAAACCCATTTTTTTCAATCGCTTATAACTCGAAAATTATTGACTCCTCAACATTTTTGCTAAGGAAAAATCGTCTCCAAATTGGCCAGAGAATCCGCCCTTAATCATTGGTCCGTTAGTTATCGGACACCCTGTATATATTCTAAATATATTTATATAATAATAATCAAATATTATTTAAAAAATAAAATTGAAAAATAATACTCTGTATGCATGAAAAGTATGAAAAAATATTCGACATATCTTTCTGTTGTTTTATAATATTATTGTTAAAGAATTTTCTTTATTCTATTAAATAAAATCAATATATTATCAGTGTGTTATTAATGTAAAAAAATCAATTAGTGATAAATGCGTTTTATATTATAATATTATATAAGTATAAAATAAATTCAAACCAATATATATTGTAAAAAAAAAAAAAAAATTCGAATTTGACAAATAAGAGTCTTGTTCATTTTTATAAATTTGAATATTAGTTATACAAAATCTTACTGCTGTAATCAATGAAAAAATTAAACGAGAGAGCAAAGTACAAATGTTTTCACTGAAGATTAATGAAAGACTCACTTGTTTGAAATCTTATTCCTGCACTTGTACTGACAATTTTCTATTAATTCAATTGAATAATGTCAATGACCGCGTCTACCCGTTTTATGCATCGACAAATCGGCCGTCTTTTGCTATCCCCCGACACAAACAGCTCTTACATGCGTTACAGGCGCCTTTGAGCCAGACATGTCGCGTTTTCAATCGCGTCTGCGATACCCAAAAGATGATCAATCGGCCGCCGAGCAATATCCGGCGGAAGGAGAATTTCCAGTCGAACGTTTCGAGGCAAAATCGCCCCA